CGGACCCCCGCAGCCCGACCATTACCTTCCCAGCGTAGTAGAACGGGAACCAGTAGAGGAAGGTGTCGGAGAAGAACTCGGCTACGCTGAAGACGCCGTACACCACCCAGTATGTCAGCCACGTGGTGTCGTCCTCCTTGCTGGAGCTCTCGATGGCTTTGATGCTGCGGCAGGAGAGGGGAAGGGCACGGCCGCTGCAGCCCTGCTGCCAGGGCGGGCACCTCCTTCCCGAGTCCTCCAAACCCTGGAGCAAACCTTCCTACCGGGCGCTGCTTCCCCGAGCTGGGACCGTGCCAGGCCCCAGTGTTTTCAGGAAGGTCTCAAGAGCTTCCCGGCCATAACCGCCCGTTCATTTACCGGGGAGACCCTCGGCTAAGGGCAGGGAATGCTCTCCAGGCGCTGCGGGGAGGCTGGGCCGGCGCACTGGTACTTACGAGACGTACGCGGGGTAGACGAAGCCGATGAGGTTGCAGAGCAGCGAGGCGCCATAGCCGAACACGAGGTACAGCCCCAGGAACGCCACAGAGCCTGCCGGGGGGCACAGAGGGGACGGTCGCGTACCTGCTGGCACCGAGATGGCCAGGAGAGACCCTGGCTCCGTCCACTGAGTGGAATTCTCATCCCAGTAGTGAGAAAAGGTGCATGCCGGGACCCTCTAGGTGGGCATAACGACCACCCCCAATTAATTCCAGTACAGCCCTCCACACACCGGACCACTGAGGTGCTCAACACGCCGCGTGCACAACCACGCTGAGCCGCTACGCGTGGCCACGATCCGGTCCCGTCACCGTTTGTCCCCTCCCTGGCCTGGAAGGGACTTTACTGCAACAAACTCGCAGCGCTTTTGACCCGTCGCCAGCCTGGACCTGGGCCAAGGCTGCCGAGATGTCGGAAGCGAAGCCTTTAACACACACCTATAGTCCAAAGTTAAGGGATTGAGCTTCTCCGCGCGCAGGGCTTGGAGGCATTTCGATAACGACTGTTCAAGGACAAGCCTTGCTACCGCAGCCTGCGTCTCCCTTCCACTCCCTGTACACATTCCCTGCACATGCTTGTGCTGAGCAGCCACCGTTCGTTAAGGATTCAGCCCCCTGAGAACCAGCAATCCAATCCCGCTGCCCTGTTATTAAATTAAATTATTTAAATTAAATTGTTAAAATTAAATGTAAGCCAAGGCTTTGGTCGTTTGGAGCCTGCCCAGCCCTCAGACGCTTGCAGGAGGCAGGATCAGCGGAGTTTGGAGAGCCGGCGGATGGGGTAA